ACTCATTTGATATCCATGTTTTTAAAAATTGCTTGTAAAAATGACTGTGTAGACATTAGGGTGCCTTCTGAAGGGGAAAAACATACAAGTGCAAAACCACATGGGAGGAAATATATTTCAGATTCAGATCCACAAATGACAAAAAATACCAAAATGCACAGAAAAAATAGCTGAAAAAACCCCAAACTAAAATTACAACCTAGCAGCTGTGCAGCAGCCCGTTCACACCTGTGTGTTCCCAGACTCATACTATATGTAGTGTGGAAGAAAGTAGGTACCAAAGATGTCACCAATTCATAACCGACCAAATATAAAATCTGGTCATCTTCCATTACAGAGTTTAAACATTTAATAATGTTCAGTAACGTGTTTTGTTTTTTTCATAGTATTACGAAGTCGGAGAGAGACTGACTTTTAACATTTTAAAACATGAAATGTCTTCACTTGACCAGTGGCACAGATTTGTCATAATTAGCATATGAATTCTCACGAGTCTGGGCCAAGAATGTGTTTTTGTGATGTCACACGGTCGTGACCTTTGCTTGCTGAATTCCCATCAGTTTATATTTGTGTCCAGATCTAAAGAGCTTCCCACAGTTGTTTCAGTGATGCCATGGTCATAAGTTTAAAAAGAATGAGCATGCAACTATATTAAACAATGCTCTCAGCAATGACAGCATGACTATTGCATCCCCTTTTTCTGGGACCTAAGAGGAAGTGACAATGTGCTTAATTTGGACATCACATGAACAGTGTTTTTTTTTTTAATTCTAAAATTGCTCCTTTGTTACTTTAATTTTTGATATTAATATATAAAAAAGTAAAAACATATACATTTTCAACATGTGTTAGCAACATTTATGCAAAAAACATGCTCATTTTTTTTATATCTGAACATCTGTAATTGTGAGCAGCTGCATGTTGGGATAACTAGTCAACTATTTTATTTTACCTATTTTGTCAATTACAAAATCAGTTCCTGGAAAAAAAAATTTGATCCTTTCAATTCAGATTAGTTTGTCACAGCACATTGAGCTTGTGTTAAAGTGTAATTGCAAGACCAAGTGTAAATAGACCTTTGAGTCTGAACTCCTAAGTTTCTAAGTTGCCACGAGGTCATATTGTGTCATTGACTCCCTTGTGCATCATGGAGCATTTCCAGGGAAGCATATTTGTTTATGTGCTTTTTTTTGCATGTATTTCCCCTTTTGGAATGCGTGGCAGTTTTTTCAGTATTCTGGAGTTTTGGGCTTGTTTGCCTTCATTTTGTATTTTCACTTGTATATGTTTCAGCACTAATAGTGCGAGTTACAGAAGAAAGTGTTATAATAGCAGCACCTTGCTTTTAAAAAATTGTGAAACCCAAGATTTTCACGTAACTCCCCAAACACAAGGTTCATGTCATCATTTTGGCATGAGATTGCCTTGTGACCATGGTATCACTTCCCAGTCACTTCCTTGACCACAATGTGGCAGTATGTGGATTTACTGCACACATACATCTCCATTGGGGCAATTAAGAGCAACCCGAGGCCTCGCACCCTTAGCCAAAGGAGTGCCAGGTGACGCACTGCACTATCACAGTATTAATTTCCATAAGATTTCAAGAAGACAGCCTGATCATGGCAGCGCTTTGTGTACAGAAGGACTGCCACTCCCTCTTGAACAAAGTGCTGTGTGTTCAAACACATGTTGCAAAAGGATGCATCAGTGGTTGCGCTGTTATAAAAACGTTAAAGCAGCTCTTGCGTAATGAGGTGTTAGGTCGAGATTTAGGTTTTGCAGCTGCAGCACAAGGTTGAGCAGTGAGCTACCATTTCCAAAACTGTTGCCAGAATCAACTCTTTATCTGCTGCATGCAATTGTGGGTTCCCTCGTAAAAACGCCCAGCCTCTGTGGCGTAACAGGCGTATACCCCGATAGGGATAGTTTCTCTCCTGATCTTTACAAGCTTCTTCAAAGCTGGGGAGGAAACATCTGCCCTCTATCACCTCATTCCGCCCCCTCACTTCACAGAGAGGCCAAGGGAGGGAATATGAACAAGACAAAATAAAAGCAATAAACATGATAGCTGGGGAAGACTTTTTCCCTCCAATGCAGGCTGATAAAGATTCATTTAGGTGGAAAAGAGGAGAAGACGTCTTTAGTGAAATAGTGCAAACTCTGATAGTGCAAACTCTCTATTAAATCTAATCCCTGTCTTTCTCTGTCTGTCTTTGTATACTGTACATGTTAAATAGACATAGACACATGTTACGTAATGGACCGTGATATAAACAGAGAAGTTCATAGGGCTCCAGCTGACGTCCCACCAAAGTGATGTGCGCACACATTCAAACAGAGAGTTTGTCACAATTTAAGAAGCATCAGATTGGTTTACATTCAAGGAGGCTTGGACAGGCGTCCTGTGTCTATCCTGGACCACACATTGCTTATGCTAGGCTTAAGAGGTGAGTAGAGGATAAAACAAAAAGGTTATAGCAGTGCACACAGAGAAGAAAACACACCCAAATATTAGTTTTCCTTTCAACAGTGAGAAATGTGACTGGTTTTGGATAGAGAAATGTAATCTTCCAGCAGTAAATCCCTCTCATTCAGGAAGGAACCTATGACGGGAGAGGAAATAATAGGTGGAAAAGGGGTGCCTGGCAAGTTTGTTGCTAGGGTTTCCCTCCGGTGAACCTGGATAAGCTGCAAAGTGGCTGCAGTTAGCAGGAAAGGGAAAAAAAATAAACAAAAAACATTTTCTTTAGGGCATAGGAAGGCCGACTAATGTGGCGATAATGAATGGAGTTCCTGTACAGTGTTGGCTCCAGAGCTAGGATGAATACCAGAGCGCAGACTAACAAACGCAGTCTGATCTCACTTAGTTTCAATAAGACATTCCTGTTTGTACAACAGGATGTTACAACAATATACTGTGTATGCTAATCTCACTAAATCATCTTGTATAAATGAACTGAAATGTTTTTTTTTGAGGAAAAATCAGTAATCCCTGTTGAGAGATTAGTCCTGTAAACTGCATAATAATTCCTTTTTTCTGATCCAGATGAATGATATATGAATTTGTTGAGTTGTTCGATGTGTGATCCATTATATTTTTACCTGCTCGGGTTGTGTTTTATTGACCTTGGTGTTAGAACAGTACAGCTGTAAAAACACAAGTGCGTTAGGCTGCTGTGTTGTTGACTATCACCATGTTAGCACTTGCAGAAGCATGAAAAGTGTTGCTTTGCCTGTGCAGGAAATGTCAAGTTGTCTTGATAATAATGCTTATCAGAAGCAAATTAACACTTACCATATAAATATTGAGAACAGAAATGAGGTCTGATCAAGTAATGATTAGAATTAATATCAGTGACTGTGTTATTTAATTTGAAAATGCAATTGGTAAACACCATCACCATCTAAAATATCTCTACGCAGCAGTAGAGATGGGAATTAATAAGAATTTAGTGACTCTGATTATTGATTCAACACCTTAGCAAGTCTCACTGGTTTCTGCTTTGACAGTCACCACCATAGCTAAGCAGCATGTCGAAAACATTACATTTGTACAAAATGATTGCATGCTGTGTTGATGTTTGTGCATGTTGCTGGTGTTTAGTTTGTAATAATTATTACACAATTACTCCCAGGAGAAAGTTATTAATTGTACTACTCCTTACATTACTTTCATGTTATTCTGTAAAATAACCGAAACACTCATAATATTGAAAAATACCATTTAACAAAAAAAACCCCTGAGGCTATAGCCCTGCACACCAACACAAACCCCTATCCTAATGGCGACACACATAAGATCTTTCTACTAGTATTTAGGTACGAACAAAGCAAAGTCTTAAACAAGCACTAAGAGACTTTCAGGCACTCACTGTAGTGATTCTATTCTGTAGAAATACAAACAGGTAGAAACAGATTCAGCAACCTGACTGCTCATCAGTTTGTTACCTGTTGAAGTTCAGGTCTAGCTGCTCGGCTGGGGTCGGCATTCACTCGGGGTGTTGGCTAGCTTAGTGTTAGCATGCTGCATGGCTAGCTTAGCGTTAGAAAGCTGTCTGTGCGCATGCTTGCAATAAGACAAAGTTGCATTTAGTAGATTGCAGCTATTTCTGTCGTGGATGCAGTTTGCACTTTATGATCACACTCTTACCATTTTGCGCACTAAAAATACATAATGTTATAATAAGTCATGTCCATATCACGCTGTAGACTGTGCTGCTATTTTCATTTGCTATTTGACACAAAACTGAACACACGCTGATTTAAGTGTGAGCACAACTGGAACTAATAAGTAGGATCAACAGGCAAGCAGACTAACAATTCCAAGGAAATGGACTACTGGGAACCAGTTCTCTACAAGAACTAGTTCTTGATTACCATTCCTACAAAGCAGTTTAATTCAACCAATTTCGAAAAGGTACTAATACATTTTAAGGATAGTTTATATTCAAGAGTATGTGCTTATTTAGAGGTACAGCAGAAGGTAGAGCAGGTCATCTACTGATCAGAAGGTTGGTGGGTCAATCCCTGGATGCTTCAGTCTGCATGCCAAAAAATCCATGAGCAAGATAATAAAACCATGAGTCCTGAGTTGAGTGTGAATTTTGAATAGAAAACAATCAGATATTTTAAAAAAGTGTTTGAAGGAATGAATGTGTGTGAAAGGTTGAATGAGACTGAATTGAATTGTATAAAGTAAAGTGACATGCTTGGAAGTCTGGGGTAGTGAGTGCCATCTGCTTTGCTGTTGTCTGCTGGGGAACAGCAGGGAACATCATCAGTGCCAGAGATGCCAGCAGGATCAACAAACTAATCCACATGACTGGAACCATCACTGGTTAGAATTCTGAGGCATTTGTGAGGGACAGGAGGTG